TTGTGTCATAAACTCTCAGAAACTGGTTTCTCAGATCACACCATTGGATGGTTCTCTAACTATCTCTCAGACCGGAGGCAATGTGTTCAACATTATGGTACTTCCTCCAGTTATTTAACAGTCAACAATGGTGTACCACAAGGCTCAGTCTTAGGACACACCCTCTTTACAATCTACATAGGAAATGTAGGTCAGAGCTTCCCTGAAGCTTTTTTTTTTTTTTTAATGTCCCGAGGACCAGATTGAACTTGTTTAGATTTTTCTACTTTGTACCTGGATTATTGAGCAGCATCAGGATACTCCACTAATTGTGTTATTTCTTTTCCAGTTGCTGAGGTCCGTTGGTGTGCTGTTTTTGTGACCTTGTTTTCCTCTTTGTGTGCCGTGAGTCCTGAGTTTGGGGTTGTCTCACTACGTGTCTGGTGCTTGAAAGTCCATTACCAGCGGCTCTTCTACCAGTAACCTCAGCTCCTGTGTTTTTTTGCTGTTTCCCTTTTTCTTTTCATGGGAGGATTTTAAAAAAGTATTTTGAATCTAGAATTTAATACATTTTCTGAATCTGGAATCCTGTCTCTGATGTCATAAATATTTTTATGTCTATGAACTTGTGTGCCTTTGAAAAATTCTCTGGGTGAAACTCCCCAGGGTGGTGTTGTTGAGCTGTTTATTTTTGGGGTGTGACAGCTTTTAAGTTGCATAATATTCATGATGCCCACTTACTGTTGCCACATTTTCAAACTGGGACCAAAATGTTTGTTTTGTTTTGATGATTAGAGGAAACTGTTAATTGCACATAATTTGTCTTTCTGGTCTATTGAAACATTTCTTTAATTTTCCATCTTTCAGTTTGCTTTGGAATAATGATCTTAGCTGTGTTTTAAACAGACACTTTTTTAGTTTATTGGATGATTAAGTTGTCTTTAATTCTTTCATTCTGTTCTTTTCATTCCTGTTTTTTTATTATTATTTTAACCCCACATTAAAAACTGATTTATTTAATTAAAATATGCTTATTTTTTCTTAACCAGGAAGTATTCTTGTTGAATTTGACATTTTAATTGCAAGCCTTTTGAATTTTCATGATGATTTTTGGGCTTTTGTGCCTTTTTATTAATTAAAAAATAAATAAATAAATAACAGATCATTTTTAACCAGAATCTGCTGAGCGTGTCAACATAAAGCATAAACGCTGTACCATCTGTACAACATCAATAAAATCACGAGTTAAAGAAGCTTTACTCATTAAATTCAGAAAACCTGTTGGACAGATGAGAACTGACATTAATGAACAGAGACACTGTAAAGTGAAAAAAAGTATGAAAGTAATTAAAATATAACTGTATTATCAGTCAGACATTCTGCCTTTAAAATAATCACTAATTATTTTTATTAACTTTCAACTAAATAACTGTCAACATTGTGTTTGGTACGATCTGGTGTTTCATGTCGAACCCAAGTGCAGACAGAGGACTGAGGAGTAAA